CATCGAACAGGATAGGTCTTATCTTTTCTCTTGCCGATAAACTTTGATAAAACTTGCGTGAAAATTTATCTCATAGTCTATGTACTCCGTCATCTTCTTTTCATATTTTTATGAAAGAAAGAAAGAGAAAAAAAAAAAACGAAAATATGAGAACGGCTCGAGAAAATTGTCTTTTATCGAAATTAGTCTTCGTAATCGAAGAACTTATAACTTTGCCAGTTCGAAAGTGATGAGAGAAAAAAAGAAAGGAAGTCAAAGTATTATATTTAAAAAATAAGAAGAACATTGATATATAATATTGATGACTATCTTTAATTTTCCTTTTGTCCCAAATTGTTTTATATTTCTTTAATAATTCGCACAAACAAGATTTCTTACTTTATCTTTTTGTAAGTTTTCGCAAAAGTCAAGCAAGCGTTCGTAGGGTTTCATTTTTTTCTTTCAGATTCTTAACGGCCAATTTGAGGGATGCTATCGAGAATGAATACATGGAATAACAGTCATAATTCAACAAAGGGAAAGTCGACTCGAATAAAAAGTCTCCCATTTTCTTTTCCTTCCGTTTCTTTTAAGTAACTTTGTGCTACGCACGGTGGTGCGAAGAAAAGGACAAAGGATACGAATTCTTCTTCTATCCTCTTCATCTTCATCCTTCCTCTTCTTCTTCTTCTTCTTCTTCTGGCTTTTGCTTCTTCTTTTCTCTCTTTGCAGTCGTCTTTCCTGACGGTCTTCCTGACGAGTTTCCTTGACATTTCGATTCCCCGGCGATTGTGTCCTCGAGAAAAGCACTCTGAATATTTTCATCCGTCTTTCTTACCTGTCGTCCGACAACGTACGGATACGTGAAAAAAAGAAAAGAAAAGAAAAGGAAAAAAAAAATAAAGCCAAAGAAATAGAAGTAAAAAGAATGAAAGAAAATCGTATTTCACTGAAAGAGAGAGGGAGAGAGATAGAGAGAGCGTGTCGTATGACCAAATGGAGAAGTTACTTCCGCGTCTGTGATCCGTCAGTGGTTAAATCGAAAGAAAACAGGCGATTTCTAGCTATTTCCATTTATTTTCCTTCCCTTTTTTTTTTCTATTTCTTTCTTCTATCTACCCATCTACCTTTCTTCTCTCTTTCTGAATATATGAAACGATTTCATACTCGAAATCAAATATTTTATGAATTTATCATATTTATGTAATACTATAGACGTATTAAGGTTTTAACGTCTATCATATTAACGTAATAACAAATAAAAATATATAATTTAATTGTTACGATGAATATTCGCAATCAACGATACATATATCCCCGTTTATTATCTATTAATTACATATTTCCGTCCAATGATTTTACATTATTTGTCACTAAATATTGCTTTCGTGTGTCAATTAATTCTTCAAATGTATAAAGAGACGTATATATGTATATGAATATATACCTATACATATATATATATATATATATATATATATATATTGTAAATAGATAATATAGTAACTCTGAAAAATATTCAAAAATTCCTTTTAACCTGTAACATAGAGCCGTTACTTCGTGAGGTTTTATTAATATTGCCCCGAGTTCGTCTACATATCAAAGGAAACGCGTGCAAGAGAGCTAAGCTTCTTTTCAATATTCACCGTTATTCGTAAGCATTCGTAAGCATATTCGTCAAAGAAATGACTTGGAGTTTGCGAAAGGTTCGTTTCAAATTTTACGTACGTTTGATTTTGAACTGGTCGAAAAACCAATTTGGAAAATACAATAATATAGCAAATTTTCAAACTCACTGACTAAAAATTTATCAAGCACGTTGGGTTTATTCATACGTAACACGAATGAAAAATATACGTACATTTATACATTCATATACACATACAGACACATTTGTATATTCGAGGGAAAAACGAAAGCGCGAATTGGACCATTACGCTTACGTGATACGGGCTACGTCGGATTCCGTCACGTTTTGTCGTTTCACGTTGAAATTCAATAAATCCGGCATATTCTCTTAGCCATGGCATTTCTCTTAGGCAAAAGTGCTGGAACGCGTCGAGGGACTCTCGACGATGGGGGACTGTAAAAAGGACGAAGGAAGGACAGGAAAAAAAAAAAGAGAAAAGAAAAACGAAGGAAAGAGAGAAAAATATAATTTACTTCGCAAGAGGAGCATAAGCTCGATATGATAAAACGGGTAGAAAGGTGTGTAAGATAAAAGAACAAAAATTAACTAACTGTAACAAGCGAATATTACAAACGATCAGAGAAGCTTCATTTATATGAATAGTCAAATTAACAATTATAATTATCCGTTGTAATATCTGTAGGTACACATATTATATCGAATAAAATTAATTAATTTTATGTTTAATAAAAAAAAAAAAAAGGATAAAATAGGTTGAAACAGTGTCCAAAAGCTAACGAAATATCGGAAAATGTGATATTTAAAATTAAATTACAGAAACCTCTTTAAGAGATATATATAATATTTAAAATACAAAAAAAAGAAGCGCGTGAATATCGATGTGTGGCAATGGCCTTGATGGATTACTTTTTACGAAATCCGTGGTAATGCGAAAACTCAAGTTCAAACTTCTGAGTCTGCTTTTCGTTGAAAAGAAAACTCCTTAAGGCTCATCCTCTTTCTGCCGGTTCGATTCTACGCGAGGATTAGAAATATTTCTGAAGGTAGTGTTATCCGGCTGGTACGATATGGCGATGGTGGAGGAAGCAAAGAGGAAGGGAAAAGGAAGAAGAAAGTATGGTGAATCGATATCGATATCGACGATTTACAACGGAGATAAATGGAAGATGAAAATGACAAACCGACGCATTAGTCTTCATAAAAGGATTCCGAAGGAAATTCCGAGCCCTTTCGGGAAGTTCCGCGAATTGCAAGCCCACCTCTTTTTCCTTCTTCTTCGAGGATTCGAGTATCGAGAGCGACCCGAAGTAAAAAGTCGAGAAATCTTTTTGAAAAACGTGAACGTCTTTTCGTCTTTTCTATCAAACAGGGAAAGAAAAAAAAAATGACAAATTTCCAATGGCAAATTGCATATATAAATATAAGTATTCGTCATTTGAGAATGGATTGTGAAAATGAATATTCGAATGAATATGGTAGAACTTATTTTTACGTCTAACGTATCGAAGTAAATCATATTTATTTTCTTCATAGTTCGTGAAAAATTCAATATAGAAATGCAATTGAATAATTCTACGATATATATTTGGATCGATATGAAACCCAAACGATTCGCTTACATTTTTCTATTAGAAAAATATAAAAATAATAGAGATAAACGAATAATATATGTGGAAAAATTGCAAAATACAAAATATGTGTGTATATCAAAATTTACAATATTTATTTTTTTCTTTTAACGAAAAGAGAAAAGGTATTTATTATGAAACACGTAATATAATGTGAAAATTAATTGTATTTCAATTGATGTGTACTCGTTTATATATAAATAGATTTCGTTCAACGACACAATTTTCAATGCTACGCTTTGAGCACGATAATGTGTTGCAATATTTTATATATATCTGCATATGTTTGAATTTACGTATGAGGCATATTTTCGTTCAAGCTCTTATCGATTTTATTAATGCAATGCTACACACTGGAAACTATACTTTTACATTATAAAATATATCCAACGTGTGTAAATCGAGACTTAACGTGAAAAAATTGTAGAATAAATAAAAAGAAAAAAAACATAACGTGTTTTTTCAATACCACTGATAACGTTAGCATTTAAGAGTTCTAAGAAAATAATGTTTTTTCCTTAATAAGTTTTATTTTCTTTCCTTTTTTTTAAAACGATAAGCAGAGTTACCTAATCGTATGGAATACTTTCGATACGTTCGAACATTTATTCTACTTCATTACAAAAAAGATTATCAATTATGATATAAAATTTGATTGATTTATATTAGAAAAATGTAGACAATATTTAAATAATGTATATAATTCTAAAATTTTTCTTGTTGATAATATTATCGTTAATATTATCAATACATTTATACATATATATATATATATATAATGTATGATAATGTGATACGATTATCTTATGATATATAATTTAATTAATTATGTGCAATATTTAAATAATATAACTTAAATAATAATATTAACATTAATATTACCAATCATACCAAAA